CAGCAGGAGCTGCATGGTGGCAACATGCGTAATTTTTCCCCTTCTACAATGGTAGTGGGATAAAGGTTTTGAAGGATTTTCCTTCAGAAACCAAGACTCAGTAGTTCTGCTGCTCACTGAACAGCTGTTTTCCTCCGTTCTCCCCAGTTCAACTAAGCAACATCATTATTAATGTAATTATTTCATGAATTCTTCCATCCGATTAAAAAAAGCCACAACCAGAAACTCCCAAGCCTGGCCGGAGCAAGCCAAGAGTGAATACTGGGGAGAGGTATGCTTCCCATATATGGCATGGTATTCCAAAATATCAGATGAACAGCCCTCATCTTATGATTGAAACATAACTAGCAATTATGGTCGGGGGAAAGATTTATAATTCTGGTAAGGGAAATGCATTCTGAATCTTGACAAGGCTGTGAAATGACCTTAAATACGCCATACAGGAAACAAATGTATGTAACCGCTTCAGCTCCAGAGTTCACTCTAGAAAATTAATTTTGGGGAACACCTAACTGAAATGAGTCTTCTCTCATATATATCTATCTACATCTATCTTGCTCCTATTTAAATTAATTTTGAAAATTTTGTCTGCTTGTTTTGGGTCATAAAGACTGTGATTTAGGATTAGTAGGTTAACAGACCATTCACTACTAATTTACCCCTCAAACTGGCTTTTTCTTGCAAAGAAACCAAGCTGCCTCCTTAATAGCTGATTACTTTGCTGTGCATTTTGTCATTTTTAATCAGTTTTTTTCCCTCCGACTGAATTGCTTTGATAATAAAATTATTCCTGCATTAGATTTATTAATCTCTGCTGCTGATTATGCTCAGACTTGGGAACTCTAGTCTTATTTGTCTTTCCCCCACTGGCTACTCTAATTGGCATATTTCCCTCCCTTTTCTTCTCTCGTAGGAACTTAATTATTAAAAAAACAGAACCAAACATGAATACAAAATATTTTAATGCAATTAAAGAAATTAATACATTTATATGCCAGATATTAGTGTTTCTACATTACTTTGATCAAGTGAAGCACTGTGAAAGTTTAATGCTAGCCTATTTTTTGTTTGGCTGTATTTTCAAATGACTCATTATGTGGATGAGAGTCTTCTGATTTTAGCATAGTACTTTCTGGCAATTCAAGATTTTTGTCAATTTTCTTTGGAGAGTGGTAGGAATTAGATCTTACAGAATAAAATTACTTTAAAAATACTCTTTTTTCCCCCCCCAGTGTTTCCTCTGGTGGTGTTTGTTCCTATAAAATGTTTTGCTTATTCTTCTTTATCTCACCTCCATGTACCTTTTCATTCCTTGTCCTGTATTCATATAGGTTTTGATGCTGCTAATGCTTATATAGATTAAACTGCGAAGCAGATGGAGAGTTGCCTAAATATCAGTGAACCCAGGACTGCCACATAATAAACTATTCTTTTTAAAAACAGTATGCCAAGCTGGCATTGTGTGCCTTATCCATCCCTTTTCCCCAGATTTGGAGCTGGGCTTTTCTTAGGGAGAATGTAGGGGCATCCTCTCTGCTGAGCCTTTGGTTTATTTAATCTGAGGGTTAATCTGATAAAACTCTAAGTGAGAGCTCAGACATGGAGCCACCAATTTCATCATGATGTTCTTCTAAGGGTCTAGTTTCTATTTTTATTTACTAAT